CCGTGCCCCCGCTAACCTTCCGCAACACTTAGTTGAACACAGCTTGGCCAAACTTGACTGCAAAAGTTTGGCACATGGTAATAAAAATAATGGAGCGTGTTTATAAAGGATACGCGGCGGCCCCTCTCTGACATTGTGCAGTCCCCCAGGCCCTCCGACAACCTACTTTATAGCCAGCAGATTACGTTTATGTTTAAGGTAACATTCATGCTTGTCTTATTCGGAGGTAAGGGCAACAGCTTCGTGGTGTAAAAATATTTGAAATGACTTTTGAAGGTCTAACGGTGGCGATCTATTTTGGTGTAATATGGCTCATTTAGTGTCGGTTGATACGAAGCTGCAGAAAATCCACCGCTAACTCTGACGCCGCTCACGGAGAACAACATTTGTTCTGGTTCTGTTCGGTTGTTTGAGCTCAGTTGTTTCTAGGAGCGATGCCTTTGGTGCAGTTCCCAATGTGGTCGAACACCGATGCACAATATGAACGGGTCCCAAACCCTGGTCCCCAGACCAGGTACCAGTCCGTGGGTCATTTGGTACACGTTTTATTTTGAAAATTCATTCTGAGCCTCAGTGATATCCTGGGTTCGATTCCCAGAGGAACCACATACTTGGCGCCTCCAAGAGGCAGACTGTTGCAGCAGATCGGCCGTGTTTCCCAAGTGTGGAATAAATGAAGTTCAAATTATTATTATATCAATATCCGTCGCTTCACAGACGTATAAACAGGACGGAGGAGAGTCGGGTGTGACCGCCATTCATCTCTAAAAAGGTTGGGGCGTGTTCACGAGTCGGTTTTCAATCTTTTTCCGATCAAAGACCCCAACCTGACGTAGCGCCCCCCATGATATATTTACTATAAAAGTCTCTTTATACGAAGGGGTTTCTGTTCTTTTGTCCGATATTTCCATCTTGCTGATATCCAATTTGTCGATATTTTTGAAACACTTAATTTCCGAATCCGATATCGACCGATATTTGCAGCCGTTTGCCCCCAAAACTGAGGTAAACGTCTCTGGACCTCACTAGCGATTCAAGCAAATTTGGTCAAATGCAAGCATTGCGTAATCTGGTTTTTATTATCGGAGGAGAAACCGATAACGATTCTTACAGATGTGACATAAATATGCTAATATCTGTCGGACGATATGATCGGACATCCCTGATATTAAGCTGTTCTTATGAAGTCTATGAACCAGAAATATCACCGCTCTCCCGCAGCGTCACTGCTGACCTTCGTTGACTGTGATGTTTTGCGGTAGCGCGGCGACGACAGCTGCCGTTATCTGGTCCCGACGCGAGGGTTCGACTCCGGCGCTAAACCCTGTTTGTCAGTGATACTACTTTGATGCGGCTCGATTGTTAACACGGGGGCTTTAAATGTTGGAGGCCATTTGAAAGCCAATTTTCTCAATCCCATTATCATCAGTACTCGGCAGAATCACAACACTTCAACCTTTGTAGTGTATTCATTTAGCATTGTCTTCAGACCTTGAAAGGAGTCGTCTCTTCCTTTTGTCTTTTCTAATTTATCGACATCCTGCGGCCAATCAGATTCAAGTGCTTACCCAGGCTGTGGTAATTACACAGACATTTGCATTTTAACACTAGATGTTATCTCATGTAATGAGAGTGCGAGCCATTGGTTGGACCGCCTTTGTAGGACGCCCGTCTCATCAGTGGATGTTTAAAAAGTGCTGCAGTGTAAAGCCAGCAGGCGGCTACACGCCAACGTGTCAATCTGAGAAGCACGGGGGAGGAGGAGGGGGAGGGAAGATAAGCTAAAAAGACAGACAATAGGCTGGAGTAAATCTGCATCTGACTAAACTAATGAAAAAGTGGCTAATTAATTAGCATTTCATTATAGCACAGCGTTGTTACCCAGATAATACAGCTAATGTCGGGGGGGTTTTTTTTAGTATTGCACACTGCAGTAATTCCAGAGGCAAACATGAATTCTATCAGCTGTCCATCTCCCCCCTCACTCCCCCCCCCACATCTCTCCCCCGTCTCTCTCCCTCCTCTTAGAACTTAACTCTCTGCTTCCATCTTTCAATCGTTTTGAATAATTAAAAATTAAACTAATTCACTCTGTGCCAAGAGTTGGAGAAGAACAAAGTCTGGTTGGTTTTTGGCCTGGTGTTACTGGTCCAGTTGGCTAGCCTTCAGTTTGATTAGCGCTACAACATTTTTATGAAATAAAATGAAACTGAAACTTTATGGTAGCAGTGAAAAATCTTTCCTCATTCAAATATTAAAGGTTTTTATTTGGAATTTAAAAAAAAAACGACAGCAGGAGTCGATGAGACGTGTTGTCGAGAAACAGTTTTGAGTCTGGTCTGAGGGACCAGCAGAGACGTCACATGGTTTGGTTCACTTTCAAACTGCACTTTTAAAAGTGGATCAACGTCACATGGTTTCAACGGCCGCTTGTTTGGGAAAACCTGGTTCATGGATGGACCAGGATCACTGGTCCAAATGGTCCAAATCACTTTTCTTCTTTGGTTCACTTTTTGGTCTGTTTACATTTTCCACTGTGAACCAACTGGACCATGGTACACTTGGTGTAGACAAACCAAGTCCCGTGGTTTCAGGTGGACCAGAGTTCTCTTCTTTGGTCTACACCAGAGTTCTGTTGACTTTACGCACCAGCCCAGACTACAGGAAGTGGACCATCTAAGTGGACCAACTCTGGTCCGTTTTCTGAACAGCTCTAGTGTCGCTGCTCTCCTGCGTGAATCAGGACGCGGGTTCAAACGCTGCCCACGAGCCTCACATCACAGTGGGACATGTGACCCTCAGCAGCCTATCACGCCGTGACATCACACATGAAAAAGACATCAGTGAGAACATGCATTCAAACGCCAGTTCAATCTGATGGCCCCTATTTTTACTAAACACACACACTCCCTCACACACACACAGACGGAGTGACTAAATTAACTTGTCAGCTTCAATCAGACCAGGAACAAAAGGGTTCCTGCCAGCTTCAAACCCACATCATTAATGGCTTTGGGAGGAGGCGGCTCTGAAGACAAAGGGACTGCAAGGTCGGCCCGACTTAAAATGCACTTTTCATTTTGGCAGAGACGCCGGCTTTTTGATTCTGGCCTCTCTCTCTCTCTCTCTCTCTCTCTCTCTCTCTCTCTCTCTCTCTCTCTCTCGCCGGTATCTTCTTACGAGTGGCTCTAACTTTCATTATCGCCAGGGAACACGGGGCATGTGGGACTTGTTGTGGCGATGTGAGAGATATGTGACATTCATAATGTATTTTCTATTAGAGGATGTCATGCATGGACACACCTGGCTGTGTGTCGGAGCAAAACGGACAGGGAGAGGATGAAGAAGGGTCAAAGAAGAAGAGGAGGGAAAAGTTAGAGAGAGAGAGAGAGGAAAAAAAAAATCAATTTCTGAAGACCCGCAGAGCCACGGTGCAGGAAGGAGAACGTTCTCTAGGTTCCTCAGGGAACCGTATACGATCCACACGTGAAGCTGAACTCTGTGAACACACACGCACACACACACACACACACACACGAAACCCTCGGCCCATATGTGGACCATCCTCATTTGCGTCTCTTTTTCCGTTGCCCAGCTGCTCCCACATCTCTGCTGCTCTCATTTTGACCCGGGATAAAAATGGCGCCCCTTATCTTTAACGGTAATAACGCCGGTCCATATGTGGACTGTCACCACAGATTGATTACCGTGTGATCCTGTGATTCTCTCTCTCTCTCTCTCTCACACTCGTCTCTTCCAGTGTGTGATTTTTGAACTGACTCCATGTCCAATCTGGCTGTCATTAAACAGAACCCCTGGGTGCCCCCCCCCATCCTCCCTCACCCCCACTCCCCCACCTCCCCCGTGACAGGCTGGTCCCAAATCCCCCTTTTTTTTTTAATCCAGACTTTTTCCTTTTAAGTCGTCGTCGTCTTCGTCTTCTTCTCTCTAACACTTAACACTCGCTCTGGATCAGCTTCTCCTTCACCTGTTTTACCCTGGACTCCTCATCACCCCCCCCCAACTCCCCTCCTCATTTTAATTATACCATTACATTAGCATTTCTATTCGCTCATTAGCATTTCGGCGCTTCCTGTCTCTTATTATTCTCATTTCTAATTCTCTTTTCTGCCCTGACTCTTCCTCTTCCTCTCCCTCTCTTTCTTTCTTTCTTTTCCTCCGCCACTGAATATATTCCACCCTGTTTTGTGATATATCAACAGACACTGCCCTTGGGATGGGTGTGTGGAGGGGGGGGGGGGATGAGGGGGGGGGTGAGGGGGGGGGGGGGGGCTCTGTCTTTGTGTGCACCTCCAACTCTAACTCTCCATTTGCGGCCAGGCCCAGCAGCAGCAGCAGACACTTCTCTGGCAGCGTCCCAGAATCTTCTGGAGTCGGCCTCACCTCACATCTTCAGCCCTGCCTCCTCCTCCTCCCAGGCTGTAGTTCTCCCTCAGAGGCAGTTGCCCCGGGGCAGTCAGTCAGATACTGTACACGTCCAACTCCTTCAGACCTTTCACCAAAAGTCTTCATCTCTTGATGGATATTCAATCCCCTCGCCCAGTCATGTGCCGAGGATGTTCCTCACCCACTTTCTCCCCCGCTTCATCCTCCCTCAACCCCAGTTTCACCTCCCGTATCTGTTCACCGGGGCGGCGGCGGCACATTCTCTGAGCTCAGGTACATTAAAAGCCATTAAAGATAAGTTTAAGCTTCATCTGTGGTTGAAGAGGAGCGGCTTTTAATCACATAATTGCCAAAGAATGGATTTAAAGCCTGGAGAATAAAATTATAATTTAGATTTCCTTTTTTCTCCGCTTGACTCAATCGCAACAACTTCTCTTTTATGACACCATGATGTAAAAAAAAAAAAAAAAAAAACCATGAACGCTGCAGAAACTCCACCAGTTTCCACTGCAGTAAAATCCACCCTCCTGCAGGTCTGTTCACACGTGACACTCAATCATCACACAGAGGAAACTGAAACCATCTGGACTCACCGTTGTCAGGCTCGGATTTCCGGTCGTGCTCGGTGTCGGTCAGAGACAGGGCGGAGTTGGCCCGGCTGGTGAGGCAGGAGCTCTGCTCCGACTTCAGGCCTCGCATCCACATGTGCTGCAGGCCGTGAGCGGGCGAGGGGTCGACCTCCGGCTCGGTGTCCACGTCGGAGCCCACGCCCAGCGAGTAGGTGCGGCTGTGGACGTGAGAGACGGGTCCAGAGCGAAGCACCTCCTCCTCCTCCTCCTGCCGCTGCTGCTGGTTCTGCTGCGGGTGGATGTGGAAGTCTGGACTTCTCATCTGCCCCGATTTGCAGAAGTCTAAATCTAAAGAAAAAAAACAACAACAACAACAACAGGCAGATTGGGATGGGGAGGACATGGAATTGTAAATATTTTATTTGCTCCAGCAGCTCAGGACTGAGATTTAAAAACCCAAGCTGAATACATTTGAAAAAATATTTTTTAACTGTTTTCCCCCAAAATACCAGGCATGACTTGGTCTCTATAACCGTCTGCTGCTCAGGTATCGTCCGTCTGTTTTCTGGCTTCCTGGTGTGTACGATGGAGCTGCAGATGTGTATTGAACAGCTTCTCAAACAAAGCCCTGATCTCGTCTATATTCTCCTTGATGGGGAGGAGGAGGTGAGGGGGGGGGGGGGCAAAGATCAGATAAAGATCAAACCTTATTAATATTGACTGGAACTGAGTGAAAAATTGAGCCTGATGTGCTTTCATGTCTTGGATCCAAGTGTGAGTCCGAGCATCAACCTGTTATCTGAGAACCTCAGATCTACTGCCTCCGTCTTCTGGTTTCACTTCAATTCAATTCTATTCAATTGACTTCTATAATTTTTTTTTTTTTTTTTTTTTACTCTTCAACCCAAGACGGTTAAGTGAATTTTTGGACTCTCTGTTTGGACGGTTGGAGCAGAAGTGGTGGAAATGATGTAATATTAGGGATGTCCGTTAATATCGGCCGACCCGATGTTAGCCTAGCCGATATTATGTAATATCTGTAAGAATAGTTAGCGTTTTTTCCTCCGATAATGAAAACTCCGATAACACAATGCCAGGGTTTGGCCAAATGATGTGTGCCCTAAAACTAATTTTGGGGAAAAACCGCTGTATGTCAAAGTGAAAGCCACTAGATGGCAGCATTCCAGCTCATTTTTATTAATCTATTTAAATAATCAGGGGATTGTACAGAAAAATAGTATTTTTATTTGGAGGGGTGTGTGAAAAAACGTCTGTCCCCTAGGGGGAGCATGGCAGAAAATAATTGAGAAACACTGCTTTAACCCATCACCTTAGTGAGCGGCGTCACTTCACTATATCCCGCTATATCGGTATTGGTTGATCGGAATCGGAAGTGTTGGGACATCCGACATCCCTATGTAATACCTGCCAAAAACTCCAGATAATCCTAATCTGTTCAGACTCCACCAACGTCCGAGATGGGGGTTAAAAAAAAAGGTTAAAAAAAAAAAAGGCTTCTGCTGCTTCTGCCCACTAGGTGGTGTGAATATTTGTGTTAGGTCAGGTCCTCTCGACATGAACCACAGAGTTTCAATAGGGGACAGGACTCTGCTGACCACTCCATTGACCAGCGCCGTGTCCTGCTGGGTCTTTTTGATGGGGTCAAGACCGACTGCGGTTCACACACCCTTCTGCTGGAATCAAACCTGCGGCGGATTGGTCGCCGGGACACACTTATGTTTCGCTGAAATTGGCTGAAAAAAAAAAGTCATTTCCACTGAGCGAGTGGAGAGTCGTCGTCTCAACGATCTGTTTCCTCGAGAAAATTCTAAACACAAGGAAATACGACTTTAGCAAATGACTGATGAGGACGGTTTTTTTTTTTGTTTTTTCATTGAAAAAACATCAATTTCCTGCCATTACGGTCGGCTGCTCCTGACTCAACCGTGCAAGAGACAAATAGCAATTTTGTATATTTTGACACTAGTTTAACCCGAAGTACTTGTCACCAGCCACCGCTTGTCAAAACCCTGTGGGTTATAATTTCACTGTATGCAGACCTGGATGTAATGGAAGATAAACACAACTAAATTGCGTTTACCCAAGGGTGTAATTACCACTGGTGGGCATGAATACGACTCCCTCTCTGCCAACATTAAGACAGAGCCGGGAACTGTAGCTGTACGTCAAACTGTTTGTAATAATTCAGTTTAAATTGTCTGGAAACATCTGCGGCTACAGGACGATACTCACAAACAGCCCTCGGGAGTACTGGTACTGCAGTATCTCATCGGCCCAAGAACAGAAACGTGTATTTGGTGGAGTACAAATCAGTAGGTCCACGACCCCAAAATGACAAATACCTTCATTATTGTGGTTAACTGTGTAACCTTTGACCCCACCCAGGGCCACACTGCAGTTCCTGTTCTGGCCACCGTTCGAAATTTGTTCTTTTCCCCAAGAATTATCACGGTAACATGTGGTTTGGTCAAAAACTACAGTACCTACATTATGCAGTACAGTCCTCAGTACTCAGTACTACAGACATCCACCCTGTGGATATCAGCTTGTACGTAACGTTTGCAGTACTTCAGCGGGAAAAAAGTCCTACGTACAAGAAACAGACTTTTAAATTCTGAGAGACAGAGATTTGGAAGATTTATAAGAAAAAGAAGTTTTTTGGGGGGGATTTCTGAAGACTTTCAACTTTACACCAGATTTTTTTTTTTCAAGATCGCAGACAGAGAACTTCAAGCGCTTTTGTTACATTTTTTTTTTTTTGTATCTCCGAAGCTTTTGATCAAAACACGACTTTGCTCATTTCAGCTCACGAGCGTTTAATTAGCTGATTAACTTTCGCTCCTGGAGATTATATATAAATTTTAGCCCTGGATGAACTTCAGAGACAAACACCAAAATCAAAATTATTAATTAGTTCGACTTCATGTCCATTTATTAACTTTCTGTCTTTTTACCAACGCTAACGACCAGAGGAGGAGAACTAAGTGGACGGAGAAAAATGTGAAATATTCCGGTAAATAAACAAGTGGAAG